GTTACAAAAGGTTGTGAAACAATAATATCAATAATAATAATATGGACAAAACCAATGTTACAAAAGGTTGTGAAAGAATAATATCAATAATAATAATATGAACAAAGCCAATGTTACAAAAGGTTGTGAAAGAATAATATCAATAATAATAATATGAACAAAGCCAATGTTACAAAAGATTGTGAAAGAATAATATCAATAATAATAATATGAACAAAGCCAATGTTACAAAAGGTTGTGAAACAATAATATCAATAATAATAATATAGACAAAGCCAATGTTACAAAAGATTGTGAAACAATAATATCAATAATAATAATATAGACAAAGCCAATGTTACAAAAGATTGTGAAACAATAATATCAATAATAATAATAATATGAACAAATGGGCAAATTTTGATTTTGTCTACAATCGTGAAATCACATATTTTGCTTATTATCAACGTTTGGGCGGTTCTGCTTTTGAAGTTTGGATTTTGTGCTAGAAATATCTCTGGACTGTACACACACACACATGAGCGGAAATCAGTTTATTTTGTATTTTTTTCTTTTAATTCCTGGACCCATTTCCGATGTTTAACATTTTATTCTAAACAATTTATACACCATATTATTCGTGCTTCTTTGACTTTGTTGGTTAAAATATTCCTAATAAAATATAATTTCTCGTCAATTAAACTAATCAACCTGGTAATGCATATAGCTAATTACTTATATTGTTGTTACATTTTTAATTATAGAGATTAGAATGTATTGTTTTATCAGTTGGCTACCCTCATTGTTAAAGGATTTTTTCGGCCGTAAACTCACTAACATCTCACGAGGTTGCGACAGCATAAGATATTAGGTTCATGTTAAATCCATATACTAAGCTAACAACACAAAATTATCTGTACAATAAAAATTTAGAATTATAGAAATAGACATATTAAACATTCTAACAACAAATCTGTAACTTAAGGGTTAATATATTGAATTGTACTAAATATTGAAATTTTGAACCAAAAGTAGTGACCAGTTTGATCGTTGACATTTCACACGTGACAACAAATAAAATGTTAGTAGTATGATGTTTTTAAGTATATTTCGGTACATTTTAGACCTTAAATGAACAAAAATTAACCTATTTTATTTTCGTAAGACGTATTTTTTGCTTCGTTTGCTGGAAATTCATTCTTTTAAAGAGAAACTAACTTCAGATATCCATAAAACTGTTTGTTAAGCGGTTGTAAAATTGAGAAATGTTTCCCGAATAAATAGGATGCCATAATGAATAGCAACGTAATAAATTCTTTATATGATACATACCAATATACTAATATAAGCTGTTAAATATGTGATGCAACATATATGTATATATATTCGGTATATATGAGGCATAAGACGATGGACGTGAGATAAAATTTTGTGAAGACGTCTTCAGAACTTCATAGTGAATAGCTGAACTGTGATGTCGTAGGTGTGTGTCTCCACATAAGATTATCATATCACTCATGTCTAGAATGACTGCGTTTACATTTTCAAATTGTTATATGAATTTAAGTATAGCAAAGATGATTCTAGATCTAAGTTTCATGACAGTTTAATTCTAGAAAGCTAAGTATAATTTCAAAATTGTCATAACAGTTTAATTATAATAAGGATGAGTTTAAATGATAGCTTAATTCTAATAAGAGTAGTTTTAAATTTTAAAATTGTTATATCAATTTAAGTATAGCAAAGCTGATTCTAGATCTAAGTTTCATGATAATTTAATTCTAGAAAGTCTAAATCTAAATTTCAAAATTGTCATAACAGTTTAATTATAATAAGGATGAGTTTAAATGACAGTTTGATTATAATAAGGTTGAATTTAAATGATAGTTTAATTATAATAAGGTTGAGTTTAAATGACAGTTTAATTGTAATAAGGTTGAGTTTAAATGACAGTTTAATTATAATAAGGTTGAGTTTAAATGATAGTTTAATTATAATAAGGTTGAGTTTAAATGACAGTTTAATTATAATAAGGTTGAGTTTAAATGACAGTTTAATTATAATAAGGTTGAGTATAAAGGACAGTTTAATTATAATAAGACTAGGTTTAATTTTTAAAAATGCCGTATCAGTTGAAATCTGGTAAAAATTGTTTAGATTTTGAAATTATTATATCATTTTAAATTTATTAATTTTTGGTTTAAATTTTATAATTATCTTGCTAGTCGATGTTAGATAAGGTTAGACTTAAACTGTAAATTTGTCATGTTTAATAAGACTAGATATAAACTTGAAAATTGTGATAAAAGTTTAGATAAACGACCTTTACACTCCAGAGGTAAATATATTTGTTTTTTTATTACTACCAACGTTTGGCTTTTACAACTTCTTCAGGGTAAATATATACAAACTGTTTGATGTGTAAATCCCTCCAGTACGCACTATAAACTTTGAAAGAAAATTTGAAAATTGTTATATCATAATAAGCCTAATAGGACTGAATTTAAATTCCAAAATGTAGTATCAGTTTATGTCTTCTTAGATTCGGGTTAAATTTGTTAATTAAAATGTAGTATCAGTTTATGTCTTCATAAATTCGGGTTAAATTTGATAATTAAAATGTAGTATCAGTTTATGTCTTCTTAGATTCGGTTTAAATTTGATAATTAAAATGTAGTATCAGTTTATGTCTTCATAGATTCGGGTTAAATTTGATAATTAAAATGTAGTATCAGTTTATGTCTTCATAGATTCGGGTTAAATTTGATAATTAAAATGTAGTATCAGTTTATGTCTTCATAGATTCGGGTTAAATTTGATAATTAAAATGTAGTATCAGTTTATGTCTTTTTAGATTCGGTTTAAGTTTGATAATTAAAATGTAGCATCACTTTATGTCTTCTTAGATTCGGGTTAAATTTGTTAATTGTTTTATTAGATGATGTCTAGCAAGATCGGTCTTAAATTTTAAAACGTCATATCAGCTAAAATAAGATTGGGTTTAAATTTTAAAACTACCTCATCAAAGTATAGGTTCCAAACTTTTTCAATTTTATGGATCACAACTTAATAAATTATAGACAGAAAGAAACTTATGTGTTATTTTTTATAAGAAACCCAACGTATATAGTCTGTTAGTGCAATGTTTACGTTTAGAAAAACACTCAGTCTCCATTAAAGTACGACTACACAATATTAAAGAAATGTAACTTTTATTATTTTGTGCAACCTTTAAACTTTCTCCTCGTCTTTAATCTATAAATATTTATGCAGTGTGATTAGATAAACAAGTTGTATGTATGTATTGTAGAAGAAAAAGTAAGTACACGTAAGTTAAAGGAAACGAGTGAGATAAATATAATGTACTCTGTAAATATACGTCGTCAAGGAAAGTTAAACTCAACAACCGGATTTGTTCAAAGCAAATATAGCAGCTAGAGTACTAATGTAGAAGAGAATGGAACTGGTAATAGAGGTTAGGACAAGTGACCTTAGAGTTACCAGTCTGGTTTTAATGAGAATTTCATTTGTATGAAGTTCAAATGTGTAGTTTTGAGAAAGAAAGATGAGTTTTTCTGTTTTTTTTTTATACTTTTCTTTGAAAAGGGTCTGTATTTTCATTCTTCCATTTGTACTGCATGTTAGTCCTCCGATGGGACAGCGGTAAGTTTTCGGACTTACAACACTAAAATCCGGGGTTCGATTCCCCGCAGTCGACTCAGCAGATAGCCCATTGTGACTTTGCTCTAATACAAACAAATTTCGTGATAAAAAGTATGTTTTTAGCATCAGTCGACACACGTGGCTCTACTTCCATTATCTATTACATGAACCAACAAATTGAAACACTGATTTAGGGTCAGTGGACTTGATTAAAACGGACATTTTATGGTGGTAACACAAATTGACAATTTCACTCAATAGATGGCATTTCACGACGGTAGCTTATTTCAACTTATTTGATAGATAGTTACGAAATTTAAATATTCCTTTTTTATTTATTTATTCATAATATTTTTAAGATATACATTTGTAAAATTTTTTAAACTAAATATTTTGTTCAATGGAGCTGAAGTGTACCAATGTTTTGACAAAATGTTTATTAGAGTAGCTGTTTGATACACAGACAATCAACTTTCGTACCTGGTACAGACTGGAAAGAACAGGAAATGATATGAAACATGTGATAGATTAGGGTTAACTTGTTTATCGACAAAAACAAGCTTGAGAAACAGTGAGATAACACATTGTGGAGGACTAGAAAAAGTGATAAAATACAATCCAGCCAATCGTTTACATCTGAATCCGTCTGCCTCCACTGTATTGGCTGCTTGTTCTGTCGTTACTGTTTTCTGATTGGCTAGAATTGCTGCTAGGCTCATACCTGTCCCATAGTCCTGGAGGTTGATTACTCCTGCCATCTAGTGTTAATACAATGAAATACATAAATATAAAAAGCATTGGTGTTGTAAATGAAAATAATAAAAATAACAACACTTTACTGTTAGCATGAGAGAGTTTCAGAAAATATATGCTACTAATAATTTTAATATATTCCATTACATAATATTTCGGTCGAACTAATTAGTTATGGAATAACACCTTACCTTATTACTAAAAAATCACATTTAAGTGACAGCCCAAGATAATGGTAACTTGTTTGTTTCGGATATTCGCGCTAAGCTACAAAACGGCCATCTGCACTAGCCGTCTATAATTTGGGGTTGATATACTAACTGGAAGGCAATTAATTAACAGTAACCACCGCAAGATCTTGAGCTACTCTAATCAAACATAGGACTTTGGCTGCCTCTCTTATAACGCACTCACGGTCCCAAATTACGAAGCGAGATTTTGCGATAACGAGACGCGAGCGACAAACCCTTAGATTCATAGTATGGCACGCTAACAACTGGGGCACGCCTGACCTACTTTTATATGTAAATGGAAAATCTATTTATTAATTATTCATTTATTTTATTATAAATATATATTTACGTTTTTGGAAGATTTCTATGTTTCTAATTAAGTACAAAGCTACACAATGGTCTATCTGTGCTGTGCCCATCACGGTCTGTAGTAGTCTGGATAATTTACAGCTGGAGAAATAAAACACTGTTTTCAACTTTGATTTAGGTTATTTTTTCAAAATCAACTTGTTAGTCTACAATTGGACAAAACATTTTACGTGAAACGAACCGTCTGGTTGTAGTTCGTTGTTTTTACAGGTTACAGGAGATATTCTACTCACCTTACTGACATCTTACCGTTCTATATCTAGAGGAATGTCATTAACAGGTTACAGGAGATATTCTACTGTCAGTAAGGAGAGTAGAATATCTCTTGTAACCTGTTAATGATATTCCTCTAGATATAGAACGGTAAGATGTCAGTAAGGACATCTTACCGTTCTATAT